TGGATTAGCAGCAGTTATACTGATGAGGTATACAAGATTTGACTGCGTCTTAAGCCAATTTTTTTGAGATATAAAAGAGAGAAGCAAGCAGAGACACATGGGAACCTCATACCACCAAGAAAGCAGTGCCAGGGCAGAGTGTGTCCTTTGGACCTGAGGTTCCTGCACAGAGAATCTCCCAGACCAAGGGAAGACTGATGCATCACAAGGACTTTCCTCCAGAGCCGACAGACAGAGAAAGCCTTCTCCTGGAGCTGATACCCTGACTTTGCACTTGTAGCCTATTGGACTGTGAGAGAATAAACTCCTCCTTGTTAAAGCCAGCCACTTGTGGTATTTCTGTTACAGCAGCAGTAGATGACTAAGACAGAATTTGGTACTGGGAGTGGGGTGCTGCTCTAACAGATACCTAAAATGTGGAGGTGGTTTTGAAACTGTGAATGGATAGAGGACCAGAAGCAGCAGAGGACCAGAAGCAGGAGAGAAGCAGCAGCGGCAGGGACCCAGCAGTAGCAGAACCAGGAGACCAGCACCAGACAGCACTGGAGCTAACCCATGGAGCAAGAGAGCCAAGTGCCTGTGCGCTGGAGGCTTCTTGGTGGAGTGGGCTGCCTCCAGGCACTTACTGGTGGAGCTACAGAGCTTTGGAACACTTGCCCAAGCAGGGCAGATGCGGGCGTGAGGCCCGAGGGGCCGAGAGGCCACAAGAAGCAGAAGCTGAAGAGACAAGGAACACAAAAAGCCAAGCTTCCCCAGTCTCAAAAGGTATGGCCAGGACCTCTGGGGTTTCAAAGGGTGGAGCCATGGCCTCTGGTGTTTCTAAGGGTGGAGTTGTCACTCCGGTGGACTAGAAGAGTGGTGCGCCTAAAGCTGAGGGAGCAGAGTTGCTGTCCCAATGGGCCTGGAAGGCAGAGTTGAAGCCCAGGGCTGAGGGGCTTCCACTCAGAATCCGGATAGTATGGCCAATACCTAAAGTCTAGAGTGCAGGGCTATTGTGTGAATGGTCTCAGAAAACAGGATTATTTGCAAAGCCTTGAGAGCTAATGTAATGTGTTCTGCTGACTTGCTTGGTGCCTGTTAGCCCTTCTTTCCCTACAATTTTTCCCATTTGTAATGGAAATGTCTAGTTTGTGCATGTTCTGCCACTGTACCTTTAGAGGCAGATAGCTTGTATTCTAGATTTCACAAAGAGGGATTTTTTGAATTTTGGACTTGGAGTTAAGACCTTTGCTATGATATGATGAGATGAATATGTTTTGCATGTTGCAAGGACATGAATTTTTGGGGGCTAAAGGGTGGAGTGTCATGGATTGTATTGTGTCCCCCCCAAATATCTGTCAACTTGGCTGGGCATGTTTCCCAGTATTGTATGATTGTGTACCATTTTGATGTGATTTCCTTATGTGTTGTAAACTCTATCACTATGATCTAATAAGATGGATTAGCAGCAGTTATAGTGATGAGGTATACAAGATTGGATAGTGTCTTAAGCCAATCTCTTTTGAGATATAAAAGAGAGAAGCAAGCAGAGACACATGGGAACCTCATACCACCAAGAAAGCAGTGCTGGGAGCAGAGCTCATCCTTTGGAACTGAGGTTCCTGCGCTGAGATGCTCCTAGACCAAGGGAAGACTGATGCATCACAAGGACTTTCCTCCAGAGCTGACAGAGACAGAAAGCCTTCTCCTGGAGCTGAAGTCCTGAATTTGGACTTGTAGCCTACTGGACTGTGAGAGAATAAATTTCTCTTTGTTAAAGCCATCTGCTTGTGGTATTTCTGTTATATCAACACTAGATGAATAAGACAGGGGTAGAAGTCCAAAATCAAGTTGTCAGCTGGGTCATGCTCCCCCTGAAAGTCTAGAGAAGGCTCATTCAATGCCTCTTCCAGATTCTGGTGACACCAGACATTCCTGAGCTTGTGGCAGCATTACTCCAATCTGTCCCTCCATCTTCACATGACCATCTTCTCTGTGTGTTTCTGTGTGTCCTATCCTCTTCTTATAAGGAAATCAGTCATTGGATTTAGGGCCTACCATAATCTAGTATTGTCCCATCTTAACTAATTATGTCTGCAAAAACACTATTTCCAAATAAGATCACATTCTGAGGTTCCAGATGGGCATGGATCTTTAAGGGACACTGTCTAACCTACTACCTTAGGGTGTTTAAAATATTATTTATATATATTAATATATACATATGTAGTGAATGTTTATCTGATATATTATAAGCATTACTTACAGATTGTAAATATTTACAGGTCTGTAAATATCTACGTACAGAAGAGAGAAGGGGATTTTTAATCCATTTTTCCAAAAAGAAATAGTTAAATGCACTTAAGTAGTTGAATGTTATTTCAGTCACTCTATATGAGGAACAGCTTTGGGAAAAAATAAGTAGTCAAAATATTGATAGTGATTAATGAATGATGGTTGACTACTGTAGGCATAGTTAGGACAACCGCTATGAAACATTCTGCAAACAATCTGCTCTATTGTCTTGTAAGGGTTGGGACAGTGCACAGGGTGTCAGAAAGGATGAGGCAGGGCCAGGGAAGTTGAACCAGGAAGCAAAGAGGTAACGAGAGATTCATATTCCAGGGAATGTGCATGCTTTCCCTCTTCTATGGGATGAACAGGGATGGTCCCTGGGGCCCCATCTCTGTCACATTTCTGCACAGTCCTCAGACACTGCAGAAAGTGTTGGAGGTTATTAGCACATCTTTCTCTGGAGATGAAACTGGCACAGCACCAACAAGAGGACACCAGAGGGAATTCCTCTCTCCTCAGTGCTTAGGTAATGGCTATTCCCTGATGGCTAGAGAAGAATTAAGTTCAGTAGGTGGCTCGAAGTACATTACACACTCAATCCTGAACAGCCGGGCTGTTAATACAATTTAAAAAGAAGAGAGAGCTGACTGTTCACCATCTATATATAATGTATTCATAATAAATCTCTCAATGAGGAGGTATGAAAATGTCCTGTTTCTGTACAGCCAAAGGAAACAGAGCATCAGGGAGGCATCCACTCAGTCTCATTAGCAGAGATAACCAATGTGGAAAATCCAGGGGGATCTGCTCCACATTTTCATTAGGGAAGGCATTTGTTATTATACCTGAAATATGTTAGTAATTTTCTCATTTGCAAAATTCACTTTGCCTAAGAATGAATATATTGTTTGAATACTTACTGAATATCCTTCTTGGCCTAGATGCTACATAAAAATAAAGCATCATTTGTCGCCTTTTTTTTTCCACCTTATTTCTGCAAAGATAAAACAGTAAAGCCATCACAGAATGATTTATTTTCAAGAAATTCCAAAGAGTAGAATTTAAAAAAATTCAGTATTATATATGAAATGCCTACTCTGAAATTTAGTAGGAAGAATATAACTGGTGGCAATCAACTCATGTAAGTACAGGAATTGTCGTCTTAATATAGGTGGTCATGGTAAGAACAAGGGCTTTTTCCTCCTAGATTTGCTTGCAAAGTGCAACCACGTGTGTGGAGTCCCTTGATCTCAGAGCCAGTTACAGAGCTAACCCACCCAGCCTACTGCATGAGTTACTGGATATAAGCACAGTAACGGCTGACATTGGAGAGGAACCAGTGACAAAATGAGAGAGATTTGTTAAAGATAATCTTCACCTTAAAAATAGTTATAATTGGACTATTTTTCTCGGCATAGTTAGAAATTTATCTGTTGTGGCCACTCACGCTTTATAACAATAAGGTAATCTCAGTGTCAAGGAGGATCCTCAGCCTTCTGTTCTTTAAGGCAGGGGAGCAGAACGTGCAGATAATTTAATACCAGTTTTGGCTTATCAAGATATGAGTTCAGAAAACAAAAACAAAAACAAACCCATTGCCGGTGAGTCAATTCCAACTCATAGAGACCCTGTAGGACAGAGTTGAACTGACCCATAAACTTCCCAATCCTTATAGGAGCATATTACCACATATTTCTCCCACAGAGCAGCTGGTGGGTTCAGACCGACGACCTTTCAGTTAGCAGCCGAGTGCTTAACCATTGTGCCACCAGGGCTCCTTGAGTCCAGAAAAGAGGGCGATGTAACTAACCAGTGTTAAGACCTTCAAAATGTTTATCTGATCTGTCAAGTAACCATTCCTACTGACTCAGATTTTTCCAGTGGTAAAATAGTATATGCAATAGTATAAAAAGAAGGCAGTTTTTTAAATTCTGCCTATCTCATTTAATTTTATAAGCATCATCAATATAGACATATAGTTTTCATATCCTTTGTTTCAGGACTAAGGAATACATAGATATGCCATAATTCAGCGTTCCTCTATGCAGGATACTCCAGCAACCTCCAGTTTGTCTCTATTAGGAATATTCTTCAGCAAACATCTTTGTTTTTCCAAATGTTAGATTTTATTTCCTCAGAATAGCTTTCCTGAAATGAAAATACTATATCAAAAGTATGGATATTTTAAAGCTCCTATTTCTAAGCATATTTCTAACTAGCTTTCCAAAAGGGTATTTATTACCTTTCACTAGCAATATATAAGTATTATAGTATCATTCCCGCCTAATAAGTGGCTAATTAGATTACATTGCTTTTATTTGTGTTTATTTCATTTCTAGCAAGCTCGAACATTTTTTTGAGTGTTACTTTGCAATTATTTTGTGTATTTTGGTTCTTTCTGTCCATATTTTTTTTTATCTTGGTAAATACATAGGTAACAAAATATTTGCCATTTCTACAATCTTCACATGTACAGTTCAGTGACATTAATTACGTTCATCATGTTGTTCAACCATCACCATTAACTGTTTGGATTTTTTGCATCACCTTTACCAGAATCTCAGCATCCCCTAAGCATTGTGTCTTCCTTTCCCCCTCCCTCCTACCCGCCCCAGGTAACCACTAATAAACTTTGATCTTTATATACTTTGTTTTCTTATCAATTGGCTGATCAATTTCCCAGCTCCTGTCTCACCTACTATCCTCACCTTTGTTGCCTTGTGTAGGCTCCCACGACTCATTCAGCTACTGGGTAGATGAAAAGTCTCCAGTGGGGCCTGACCAAACCCCAGCTATCAAACGCCTTGCCAGGATCTCCTTGGTAAAGAAGCTGATGAAGAAATGGTCTGTGACGCAGAACCTGACATTTCGAGAGCAGCTGGAAGCTGGGATCCGCTACTTTGACCTGCGTGTGTCCTCCAAGCCTGGGCACGCTGACCAGGAGATCTACTTCATCCATGGGCTTTTTGGCATCAAGGTCTGGGATGGGCTGATGGAGATTGACTCATTTCTGACACAGCACCCCCAAGAGATTATCTTCCTGGATTTCAACCACTTCTATGCCATGGATGAAGCCCATCACAGACACCTGGTTCTTAGGATCCAGGAGGCTTTTGGAAACAAGCTGTGCCCAGCCTGCAGTGTGGAGAGTATAACGCTGCAAACCCTGTGGGAGAAGAAGTGCCAGGTAGGAGGGAAACCCAAGACAAGCTTCCAAAGGGCAATAACCTAGCTCTTTCTCCTTTTTCTATATCACTAGCTGTAAGACAGCTTGGTAGGAGCCCTGGCGGCACAATGGTTAAGCTCTATGCTGCTAACTGAAAGGTTGGCTGTTCGAACCCACCCAGCAACTCTGTGGGAGAAAAGACCTGGCGATCTTCTCCCGTAAAGATTACAACCTAGGAAACCCTATGGGACAGTTCTACTCTGTCCTATAGGGTCACAATGAGTCAGAATCAACTCGATGGCACACAGCACCCACAAGACAGCTCAATCCAGAGCTCTTAGCTAGAAGGCATAGATTGTTTGGAATATTAGACACACACAAACTGGTTCCTGGGCTCTAGGATAGCTTCAAGGGCCCTTCTGGGCACCTTTGAACTAGGATGAACACCTGCCAAATATTTAAAATTTGTTTGGCAACCTGTTTGGCAACTAAGGTGACTTTGAATGATCTAGCCAGAACCGGCCCAAGGCAGAGTTGTGAAATGGGACAAGTTGGTTGATACCATTTTCTTATCTCCCACAGAGTCTGTTTTTACTGTCCTAGCCCTGGTTGTGCAGTGGTTAAGAGCTCTGCTGCTAACCAAAAGGTCAGAGGTTCAAATCCACCAGCTGCTCCTTTGAAAACCTACGGGGCAGTTCTACTATGTCATATGGGGTCACAATTCAGAAGAGACTCAATGCCAACGGGTTTGATTTTTTGGTAGTCACCTTCAGTCCCAGGATGGAGTAAATGGTTAAGCACTTGGCTGCTAACTGAAAACATGGTTATTCAAGTCCCTCCACAGATGCCTCAGAAGAAAGACCTGGTATTCTACTTCTGAAAGATTACAGCCTTGAAAACCCTATGCAGCCGTTCTACTCTGCACACATGGGGATCACCATGAGTCGGAATCCACTTAATGACAACTGGTGGTGGTGGTGCTGGTCACTTCAAGAATAGTCTGTTACTTCTTGCCTTTAGCTGTGTCAGATAACCTTTGCCAGGTATTGATTGATAAGTAAAGTATTCACAAAAAGATGTGAAGTGATTCCTCTCAGGGGTATTAACATTTTAAATGGCCGTCTTCATAAATTCTGCGTCATGAGGGAAAGAGTTAGGGAAGAAGAACCAGTTGAAGGAGGGTGTTTACACTGAAACCACCAGTTGGCATTGAGTAGATTCTGAATCGTGGTGACCCTGTGTGTGTCAGAGTAGAAATGTGCTCCAGAGGGTTTTCAATGGCTGATTTTTTTTTCCAGAAATAGATCACCAGGTCTTCCTTCCAAGACACTTCTGGGTGAACTCGAACTGCCAACATTTCAGTTAGCATCCCAGCATGTTAACCATTTGCACCACTTAGGGACTCCCTACATTGAGAAGAGTCTCCAAATCTAGAACCATGAGGGACATGCTTGGGAAAAGGAATATCGGCCTGAGATGTATTCCACTCTGATCCCAAAAAAATGTGAGGCAGTGGGAGAGAAGAGCTTCAGGAAAGGCCAGCCTCCAATCTAGATTCTCTTTAAAAAAAAAAAAAAGCCAGAACCTTTTATTCATTCAAAATTGATCATTTGCTCATAGATACACTAACCAAAACATCTTGAAGAGGTAGACATTTTTGCACTCAGGGAGGAGCTTATAATTAAAGATCAAACATAATGAATTAAAGATCAATCATTCACTTATGAATATTTATTGAACACTATGTACCAAGCACCATTCTAAGCACTTAGGATAATATCAGTAAATAAAACAAAGATCCTTGCCCTAATGGAGCTTTCATTCAGGTAGTGGAGATAAATAATAGATAATAAACATAATAAACCAAAAAACCAAACCCGTTGCCATTGAGTGGGTTCCCGACTCATAGCGACCCTATAGGACAGAGTAGAACTGCCCCACAGGGTTTCCAAGGAGAAACCCTGAACTGCCAATCTTTAGGTTAGTGGCCGAGCTCTTAACCACTGTGCCACCAGGGCACCATAAACATAATAAGTACTTTATGTATAAAGCTAGAAAGTGAAAAGAGCTGTGGAAAAAGGAAAAAGTCGAGCATGGTCCTGGAGAACCAGGAGTTCTGGGGAGGGATGTGTGTGAAATTTTGAATTGGTTTGTCAGGGGAGCCCTCACTGAAAAGGTGACATTTGAGGCAGTAACCATGTGGATATTTGGGGGAAGACTTTTCCAGGCAGAGGAACAAACCAGTGCAAAGGCCTGAAGTGGGAGTGTGCCTGACATTTTTGAGGAAAGGCAGGGAACCGGTGGGGCTGGAGAACAGGTGAGGACAGAATAGCAGGACGTCAGAGAGAGAATGGGTGGGTGACCAGATCATGTGGGCCATGTCGCGTTGCAAGGACCTTGGCTTTTACTCTAAGTGGGAGGGGGATCCCTGGCAGGGTTCTGAATGCAGGAGTGATGTGACCTGACTATGTTTTCATGGAACCCCTTTGGTTGCTGTGCTAGGACTAGATCGAAGGGCCAGTGGGAGCAGGCAAAAGTAGGGAAACCAATGAGGAAACTATTATGGATTGAATTCTGTCCGCCCAAAATATGTGCTGGAACCCTAACCTGTAGATGTATTCTCATTGGAGAATAGGATTTTCTTTGTTATGTTAATAAGGCCATATCAGTGTAGGGTGTGTCCTCAGCCTGATCACTTCTGAGTTATAAAAAGAGCAGATAAGACACAGAAGTGAGCACAAATGGGGGCGGGAGAGGCATGTGGGGAAGACAGATGCCCCATGAAGATGGCCAAGGAACTGAGAAATGCCAAGGCTACAGAAGCTGAGACAAGGATCTTCCCCCAGAGCCAACAAAGTGAGCCTTCCCCTATAATCAATGCTCTGAATTTGGACTTCTAGCCTTCTCAGCTGTGAGAAAATAAATTTTTGTTCTTTTAAAGTCACACACTTGTGGTATTTCTGGTACAGCAGCACTAAGGAACTAAGACAGACTGTTAGTGGAAAGTGTTCAAATTTGTAATAGATAATAAGGTAGAGCCAGCAGGGCTTCCTAGTGGATAGGATTTGTGTGTGAAAGAAAGTGAGGACTCAACGACGACTCCCAGGTTTGGCCTGAGTAACTGGAAGTACCAGGTTATTTTGTTGTTGTTGTTAGGTACCATCAAGTCGATTCCAACTCATAGTGACCCTATGCACAACAGAACAAAACACTGCCTGGTCCTGCACCATCCTCACAATCTTTGTTATGCCTGAGCCCATTGTTGTAGTCACTGTGTCAATCTTTGTTGAGGGTCTTCTTCTTTTTCCCTGACCCTCTACTTTACCAAGCATGATGTCCTTCTCCAGGGACTGATCCTTCCTGATAACATGTCCAAAGTATGTGAGATGAAGTCTTGCCATCCTTGCTTCTAAGGAGCATTCTGGCTGTACTTCTTCCAAGACAGATTTGTTTGTTCTTCTGGCAGTCCATGGTATATTCAATATTCTTTGCCAACACCATAATTCAGAGGAATCGATTCTTCTTTGGTCTTCCTTATTCATTGTCCAGCTTTCACATGCATATGAGGTGATTGAAAACACCATGGCTTGGGTTAGGTACACCTTATTCTGCAAGGTGACATCTTTGCTTTTTAACACTTTAAAGAGATCTTTTGCAGCATATTTTCCCAATGCAATGCATCATTTAATTCTTGACTGCTGCTTCCATGGGTGTTGATGGTAGATCCAAGTAAAATGAAATCCTTGATAACTTCAATCTTTTCTCCATTTATCATGATGTTGCTTATTGGTCAAGTTGTGAGGATTTTTATTTTCTTTATGTTGAGGTATAATCCATACTGAAGGCTGTGGTCTTTGATCTTCAAGTGCTTCAAGTCCTCTTCACTTTCAGCAAGCAAGGTTGTGTCATCTGCATATCACAGGTTGTTAATGAGTCTTCCTTCAATCCTGATGCCCTGTTCTTCTTCATGTAGTCCAGCATACAGATTTAATAAGTATGGTGAAAGGATACAACCCTGATGCGCACCTTTCCTGACTTTAAACCACGCAGTGTCCCCTTGTTCTGTCTGAACGACTGCTTCTTGATCTATGTACAGGTTCCTCATGAGGACAATTAAGTGTTCTAGAATTCCCATTCTTCACAATGTTATCCATAATTTGTTATGATCCACATAGTCAAATGCTTTTGCATAGTCAATAAAACACAGGTAAACATCTTTCTGGTATTCTCTGCTTTCAGCCATGATCCATCTGACATCAGCAATGATATCCCTGGTCCACGTTCTCTTCTGAATCCGACTTGAATTTCTGGCAGTTCCCTGTTGATGTACTGCTGCAACTGTTTTTGAATGATTTTCAGCAAAATTTTACTTGCGTGTGATATTAATGATATTTTTCGATAATTCCCACATTCAGTGGGATCACCTTCTTGGGAATAGGCATAAATATGGATCTGTTGGCCAGTTAGCTGTCTTCCAAATTTCTTGGCATAGATGAGTGAGCACTTCCAGCACTGCATCTGTTTGCTGAAACATCTCAATTGGTATTCCGTCAATTCCTGCAGCCTTGTATTTTGCCAATGCCTTCAGTGCAGCTTGGACTTCTTCCTTCAGTACCATCAGTTCCTGATCATATGCTACCTCCTGAAATGGTTGAATGTCCAACCAATTCTTTTGGTATATGACTTCTGTGTATTGCTTCTATCTTCTTTTGATGCTTCCTGTGTCATTTAATATTTTCTCTGTAGAATACTTCACTATTGCAACTTGAAGCTTGAATTTTTTCTTCAGTTCTTTCAGCTTGAGAAATGCTGAGTGTATTCTTCACTTTTGGTTTTCTAATTCCAGGACTTTGCACATGTCATTATAATACTTTACTTTGTCTTCTTGAGCCACTCTTTGAAATCTCCTGTTCAGCTCTTTTACTTCATCATTTCTTCCCTTTGCTTTAGCTACTCAATGTTTGAGAGCAAGTTTCAGAGTTTCTGACATCCATTTTGGTCTTTTGTTTCTTTCCTATCTT